GGAGTCACTTACTGCAGAAGTTTAACTTTTAAGGAGTATACAGATTCAGTAGTTTCCAAAGGCAGAAGACTCGTAGTACTACATAGAAACATACTCACTCCTGAGGCAAAACATATATTATGCAAAGTGATGGTTCGCCCAATATTGGAGTACTATACAGTTATCTATGGCAACATGAAAGTATCTGGCAGAATTCAAGTGGAGAACATCCGAAGAAACTTAACTTGGCGCCTACTAATGCATAACGAAGGACTTCCTTACGAAGCAAGGTGCAAAAAACTAGAACTAAAATCACTCTGGCTGAGACGCCTGAAGCTCAACCTAACCTTTCTTTATCGTCCTTTGTTTGGAAAATCTAGAACGACCTGCGCTATCACTTTTAAACCAACACCGGCATATAATCTGCGTAATAGCGAACATACCATTCCAATAAATAAGTACCGCCCGAAGCTCTGATGTGGATGCCTCATAATGCAATGCAGTACGCTATGGAACAAATTTTTCGCTCCTATAAGAGCACGTCAATCTCACGGCCAGTATCAATGATTACTTAGTGAATTCCTCCCATCTAACGATTCTCACTAATTCATTGACAGCGAAATCACAAACGGTAATATCATGTACGGTAGTGCTGCTGGTACCTGGACTCAAGGGAGACTAGCAGCAATGACAAAAATACATAAGGTCGAAAACTAAGCGCATAGGTTGAGATGAAATCTAATTTTAAAAAACTGACCTAGAGTAGACAGGAAGCGGAGTATGATACGATTTGCAACAGTGCATTCTGTAGCTGCTTCGATGTAAACTCCATTTCTTCGTAACCCAACTGACCTCTCCACCTAACACCTATTCCTTACAATCCTTCCCTTAAAATAATCCCTTCACCCCCGACTGATAAACGAACTGTTTGTCGGTGGATTTTTTTTAGCATGTAACATGTTTTATTACTTGTCCTTTGCCATCAGTAATTACGTGCAAGTACTCTACACCACCAGATTGTCTCTGTAGCCCTGATATGGTAACACTCAACGGGCAACACCATGATTATCCCTCCGTCATGACCACATATAAAGAGTGGTTTCCATCTAAGCAAAGACCATGAATTTTATTTAAATGTTTATAACTTCATCAAACTTCTGTACATAGGTTTTCTACACATAAGCGAACACGTGGTCCAAAATCCTCTAATCCCTCTATCTTATAGTGATATCTTCGGCTTCAGTATACTTTCCACCACTTTCGTACGCACCTTCATCTTCCTCCCCATAAGCTTACCTCTAAACAGTTGGTTTTGGATACTTCTTCAAGAAACCTTTTTAGTCAGTGCAGGGAACTCACCCAGATGTATCATGATTGAACCACTCCTGTGTAGTAGTAGCGTGCTACTGTTCCGAATTCCGCCTGCTGCTCGCTTTTGTTATTAACTCTTAGGTCTACCTAACCAGTCCTTCGTCCATATGGGATCCCAGTAATTGCATTTGCCATCGCGCACGTTGCCATCAAAACTCTACGACGCTCCAAGGCCACTGCCTTACTAACCACCCTACCCTCAAGAATGTTGGAGGATCCAAACAGTAGCCGAGAAATTCCTATTTCCGATCTAAGCTTCATTCAGCATGCTGAACAATTATGTTAGTGTTTATCTGTTTCATTCCTTGCTGTTTGCGAAGCATTAACCTTCTATGTGCCGGGAGTAGCGGTACTTAATATATAGCTCAACATTATACACAACGGCCATTTCTCATTGCCAAAACGACCAAACGTGTAAATGGGTTCGTATTCGTGTGACTTATGTTGTATCAAGTACATTATAATTATTGCAGGCATACATGAATGGCCGCCGCCTACGCTCAGTTGGTACTGAAGGTCGGTCAGATGGCCAGAAAGAAGATGCTCAGGCGACGAACCAAGAACCCACCGCCCAGCAGAAAGTGGAAATGGATTGGGCACACACTGAGAAGACCATTCGTGGACATCACGTGTCATGCACCCGACTGGAATCCGAATGGGAAATGACGAGTCGGACATTCGAGTGTGACATGGAGGAGGTGATGTGAGGAAGAAATGAAAGCTTCCACGTGGTTGCGTAGCCGGGTTGAAAAGACTGCAGAGAAGAGGGTGAAATGGCGGTGTGCTACTGAAGCCGTGTGTTCCACTGGGAACCCAAGGGGCATATAATAATAAATTTGGGAATCGACTTTATAAAAGCTTCAGAACAAGAGATTCTGTTTCTTTCTGCATAGAAACTGTCAGAGAGCGAACCTGCTTATCTGCTAGATGTGGGCAGGGCAGCCAAATCATACCTTGGGAATGGAGCTGAAGAACAAACACTGTCAAACAAGAGAGGTTGAAGCAGGTCGTTGCATCACTGGTAGTTTATGTGCTCGTCGGCGAGAACGGGAAGCGTGCGATAATATTCGGCCCCAGCTTTTGAAAAATTACCCATGGGAAAATGAGCGTATAAAAGAGCTGAAGCTGTGATGTTCGTAGCGACACTTCCTAAAGTGACCGAAAGAATAGGCTATTTTTGGAGTTTTGGAACCATCCCTACGTTGAGGTGATTTAGGCCAATTTATCACGGTCATTCAAATGCAAACTCGGTGAGTATGTAATTTCTTAGCTCGTTTTCTAAACGATTTTGCATATTTCAGACATCTGACTTTATAAATAGAGGAACTAGTGGTATACCGTTTCCAGATGCAGAAACTGGATGCGAAAGTGTCCGTATTTCGTCATCGTACATTGGAAACTACCTGAAAGTTGTAAAAGGTAAAGGGAAATATAAGAAGAATGAGATTTCACAAACATCTCTTTCGTTCTTAAGGGAATTTTTCTTGACTCAAGAATAAAACCCACAGCAGCTGTGCCATACAAAACTTATTTTCTATTAGCAGTTCATATGAAACTGTAGACAGTTAGTCAACAGCTGGGAGCTGTCGTGGTATTTTAGGCAAGTATTCTCTCAAGACTAGTGGACTCCCTGCGGGTGCTCCCGGATGAAACTTGATGAAATCAGTCGCTTTTAAGGAAGAGCAGGTATGGCGGCCACTGCGAGTGCTAATCAATGTAAGTTTGGTGGGCCTGGCCAACTGCATTCTCGAGTATTGTTAGCAGTCGAAGATGTCTCAGCCTAACAGTTAGCTGTGGCGCTTAATTTATCACACAACCTGTGATTATCACTGCAAGACTGGAAGGATGGCGCCATCGACTCGATTCACAAAACTCGGTTTAGGCACTTAGCTATCACGAACTATCATGAACCGACACAAGTAGGAAATATGGACCATTAGATTCCGACTCGGTGGCCCAATGGTAACGCGCTTGCCATGAAACCTGAAGGTCCTGGCCACGATCCCTAGCAAGGTCATGAGTATGCACTTGTGAAAAGTCCCATGCCAGGACGAAACGACTGCCAGGTGCTTCTAGGTTTCTAATGTTCCCCCAACAGACGTCAGTACACGAGGATTATCAACCTGATGTCAGCCACAGATCAGTTATTCCGACCAGCACAGCTGCAAAGCCTATTGACAAAGCTGTCAGTGGTCCAGTCTTTCAGTATAACAATATGAACAGGTCTCCAGCGAATAAACTCCATGTTTCTAAAGATACCCACTCCCACTTGTCTGGGACCCCCACTGCAGATGAACACTCAGATCCACCTCCCGGCACAACCGTATCTGTTGGTGAAGAGTTTTCGGATCCTGGAGGAGAGTGGGAATAACGTTCTCTTTAGGCATTATGGAAGCGCCAGATTAATTCTGAGTTGACAAGGAAGTCAGTGACTGAAGTGAAAACTTCCTTGGTGCCCGAAACAGTGAGACGTGAGCGGCAGGACAGCTAAATTCCAGCGTAAAGCAATGAAAGTTTTGAATTTCGATGTGAAATCTCCTCTCTTTGTCCCTGAAGCGCGCGCCAAAACTGGGTCATATTTTAGGAAGTATCATGGTACGAACTTGATAGAAGCAGGGGCCAATCACTACTTATTCGAACTTGTTACATACCCACGAATAAGAGACCAAAAAAGAACACGATAGCGTAGTCAGATGGAATAGTATACTTACAAGGCCATATCAAGATACGATTAGGTTCCAAGTAACTGGCTAGAAGGTCGATTACGAGCAGTGCGACGCAACACGACAGCGTGCCAGTAGCGAGGATGCTTGGCTGGGTGCCTTCAGCTTAGCGAGTCCAGTTAAACCATGAAGGTCAGCATCAATGTTGAATCCCGTCGAATCCTGGGCGACTGATTCTGGAGAAGTATGGGACGCCAAAACCTAGCCTAATGCCTGTATATGGCGGGTAGGAATTAGAAGTCCGTTTTAAGATGGGATTTTAAGACAGGAGCAGACCACAAAGTTTTAACATCTAAACCTCTTCATCTTCGCATCATCTTCTTTGAGACTTTGGAGACTTCTATGAAGATATGTCTCAGATACCCCAGCCAACATATGTAGAATCCCACCCTGAATTCTTCTAAAGCCGCTGAAACATGCCTTAGGAATTTGAATGGTATGCCGGCTTATGCTAAAAAAGTGAAAAGGCAAAACGCCTATCATTCATTTTCTTAAGGATATATGCCAAATAGTTTCGGTCTCTGCTCATTCTTACCGTTAGTTAATAGATTACCTCAGATCGGCGTGGAATATATCAAATATTGACCGGCACACAAAACATCCTATTTATTTTTCCATCTACTAGTAACCAGCTCCTAGGTGATCCTCCGAAAGACAAAAACATGGTTAAGTCACCGAAGTCTGGTGGAATCCACTGCCAATTTCAGTAGGTTCCATTTATACACCGATGATTACTGTGTTCTAAGCGTGCTAAGCATGCCAAAAATATGATATAGGTCACTGAATGTACTGCCTTTATACATAAAATACTGCAAATGGATTTCAAATTTTAAATCAGCATGCTTCTATCAAGAAGTAAAAACGTAATAATGCTTTTGATGAAACCAGAGGTACCTTTCGTTCTATGAGAAAAATGAAATATTTTGACCGGTTAGCAATATCTGGAAATATAAAAGTTTGGACATTGTAGAGTGGTGGTTCGACTTCGCTAAAGGACAGTTGAGAGCGGGTACTTCAGTTGATTTGTTCCTTAGGCGTGGTCAGTTATTATTAGGTAGGTTGCGTACGTGATAATCATATTTTTCCATTACAGGTAAGAAATGACAAAAGGAACTACCTCTTTTGGTAAGAGGCACAACAAATCACACACACAATGTCGCCGCTGTGGTCGGAAATCTTATCACATTCAAAAGAAAACATGTTCATCCTGCGGATATCCTTCAGCTAGATTGAGGAAGTACAATTGGTCCGTGAAGGCCAAGCGAAGAAGGACAACTGGAACAGGTCGTATGCTACACCTTAAGAATGTGCACAGGCGTTTCAAACACGGTTTTCGTTCTGGGCCACCGAAACCCGTTAAGGCTTGATGTACACATCTTATTATAATAAATGGTATTAATTGATGCTCCCCTACTTGTACATTGAAAGTTTATCGCTGTTTAATGCTCTTGATATAGTCTTTTTCCACGTAGCTAGTGCGCTCTTCGTACCTAGTAAGTTTCGTCAGTAAGGGAGAAAATGTAAAGCTGGGGGTTGTACCGTTCGACACTTCGTTTACCCATTTGAATAATGTGTAGGTTGCCTGTTTTTGAAGGAATCTATTGGTGAGTTCTTGCATCTTTCTACTGAAACTCGTTACTGATTCATCTAGCCTCTCCTAATATCACCTTGTAAATTTAATCCTAAACAACAGTGGTGTAGCTAAAACAATTTGGTCTACGTCATCTAATCTGATGGATGGTAGTAACCTACATTTTAGAGTTGACCAATGATTGAGGGCTGGGTCAGTTGGAAACCGTCTCTTGATTCTATTTTCAGGTTCTACCAATGTTGGTTTTGTTTGTTAAGGTTTTGATTGTATTTCCATTTTTGTCTCCTATCTTGTTAACTGTCTTGAAATATTTCGATGAACTGTAGGCAGTTAGTGCCACAATACAGTAAATTCAAGACCGAAATTTGTCCATGATTAAAAATAAAAACCTGCCAGCTGTGAAACAAGTAAGCAGATCAGGGTTCTACAAAATAGTAATGTTGGTTTGCCAAACATGTATCCTGATAGGGAAGGTAAGTAAGTTGGTAAAACATATTCCTTGCCGTATCATAGGAAATATCTATTGTGCCAAACAAGTAGCTTCTTTGCCTGTCTCAAATCATGGGGTTCCAACATCGATCCATGTGAAAATGCGACTAAGTGGTTGAAAACCCATGGTCTCACATCGATCCTAGATAATCAGTCATAGCAAACCATACTGTCGCCCCCCACCCCCCACAGCTTCCCACTTATTTGGTGACCGGACTTCTGGTTCAGTAATAGTGAAGAGAACGGTCTTATCGACTCAGTCCGTTAGAGCAGATGCAACTACCTAGGTAGTGAAGTGGATTATGTTTTATCCGTTTTCCTTATCGTGATGTGAATAACACTGAGAATTTCGGTTGAAGCATTCAGGAAATGTATGTGAGCGTAGAACACATTAACTAGTAGGTTATTCCACTTCTGCACAAATAGAAAAGGTTCGGCTGGATTTTGCCAACTTACTCCACCTGTGGCGCTGCCGTGATGTCGGATTGTCCACTAAGGGTCGTGTTTACTGTGCAGCAGTCCGCTCTGTTCTGCTGTAAGGCTGTGAAACATGGCCATTGAAGGTGGAAGACATGAGAAGGCTTCAGATGTTTGACCACCGTCGCCTTCGTAGTATAGGCCGTATTCCGTAGTGTCTGACACAAAAGTCAGGTGTAGAGTTCTGGGGAGAAAAAGTAAGTCAGTGGATACTTTTGTGAACCCTCATCGACTGAAATGGTTGGTTCCGACAAGTGTTACGCATGTTTAGTCACCGATTGCCTCGTCACACAATGCTGGCCGAATTAGGTCCAGGCTGGGGAAAGGCCCGAGGTGGCCAGACTAAAACATGGCACCAATGTATGAAGTCCCATCTTAACCCTCAACCTAATCTCACCATCTTCCCATTCTTCCTTTCTCTCTTCTCGTACTTTGTATTTCTTTCGGCTGAATTTTCTTTTCTTCATCTTCCGCTTCACTGCCTTTTTACTTGATTTACTGATATATGAACCATTACGCAGTAACGTTTGGTCCTATGTTGATATGGATGGATATTCCACTTCAGTTGATCTCTTAGGTGTAAACAATCAAATTACTGTGATACTTTTAAAAAATAGCCCTCAGAAGGCGTCCTATTGTTTCTAATGTCGTCGCTTGACAGACTGCTAGTTTTAAATGAATGAGGTGTTCATATCGTAGTTTTATTCCTGGGGTTGGAAGCACGTAGTTGTACAGTCCACACTGACATGGCTTGACCAGGTACTGCGCATGGCATGCCACCGCCTACCTCGATGTGCAATGCTAAGGAAAGAGGATTCGGTGTGACCAAACGGAGATTGACACCAGTCAATTCAATCTCTAACTAGGTCTAAGCCGTGCGGGGAGATGTAGACTGGCTGGTTGGCGTCCTAGAGACGAAAGGAATGGGTGGTTGAGGACTCATGGTGGTGTGGCTGAAACGCAGTCACAATGGTTCAGATATATTCACTCCTTGACATCTAAGGCTTGAGTATTCTCGGTAACCTTCATCTACAAACTGCTTATTTTCTCACAACTTTGTCCACTTTGATGTCACTCCGTTTTTATCTACCTGTTCTTTTGTACTACTATGAGGTGTGGCAACTGGAGCCGATGTACTTGTGTGCGAGGTTCTGCATTGATTTGGTATTCAGACGTACGGGAAATAAAAATGCACATTGTTGGTGAATGCAGCTGTGTCACCACCACTGATGCATACTTTAAGCCATTGCTATAATGTTTCTCTTATAGGGTGTTGGTTGGCATGTTACACATATTAGGTGCTAATTTCACACCCTTAAGCTGCCAAAATACCTCAGTGAAATATCGTCTTCATGTTAAGACACATTTTTGGCTAACGATACGTGTATTTGTTTTTCTAAACGCATGGCTTTTTCCATCTAGGCATGAGTTAACTGTGGACCCTAGGATCTGAGATAAACGGACAATGCCAAAATAGCATCAGGCACTGCCATATATAACTCTAAGTTCACGTAGGAAATCCAGCTAGAATCCACTAGGGTGCAGAAAACCAGTCAAAAGTGTTAGGATGTCATCAAGGGAGTGCAGACAGGAAAAAGTACTGAAATTCAAAATGACAACTAAAATGACGATAATTTGTAGATAAATCTGCGCTACCGATGTCGATTCGGATAGTTTCCAACCATCAGTCTGTGTTGTCACACGGACCCAAACGGTTGGATCTACACTTCCCTACATGGCAAACACCGACAGACGAAGACTTCAGTGATTGACTCCATGTTTTAGTCTGACCATCTCTAACCTTTTCCCAGCCTGGACCTAATTCAGCTAACATTGTACGATGAGGCAGACGGTGAATAGGCACATGTAAACATGTCTCGGCCATCTAAACAAACTTATCGAGCCTTCTATCCTCTACTTCTAGTGGCCATGTTTAACAGGTATCTGTGTTGTCTAGATCTGCTAAGGATTTTCGTGTGGTTAGGTCGACTTCTGTAAAGTCGGACAATGAGGGAGACCTTCATGTGTACTTCCATAGCAAAACTAAGAATCAAGAGTGGAAATCGTTGATGGATACCACTTGACGTACACAGCTTACCATGGGCTCCCATGGTTGTTCGTGTACGGAGCTTTCACAGCAGGGTGATGCACTCACCTCTTTCAGTGAAAGACACCAGTCAACTAAGTCAAATATCATCTTCAGGTCGAAAAATACAGGTAGTGTCGTGCGCCGGTAAGTGTGCATGTGTTCCAAAACCTGTTGGAGAGTGAATTCTTGGTGGCCTGAAACCTACCTGGCTTTCTTGAGTTTACTGGTCTTGTCCTGTGTGATAATTATCGAGTCTTATAATGTTCATCAAACTGATTCCCATATGGTTATCACGGTGATTCCCGGCCTTTCGTAATGACGATCAGTCATTGAAACCAGTAATTAGGGATCATATTTCACTCTCATACGCTAGTTCACCTGACCACTAATGCATGACCACCATTCTTAAATACCTTCGGTACTAGTCTGTTTAACTTTACTGGTCTCCCTTGTCTCAGATTACTTCCAGCTTTTTTGACTTGTGCAAGTGTAGGAAGCAAAGGAATCACGCCTGTTGTATGCGGGCAAATGTTACCACCTGGATGGAGCTGCGTTCGAACATGTAACCCATCGTAGAGAAGTCAGGTACAGTACTTCGGTTCTTAGATATTACTCTGGTCAGGCTAGATTCCTTGTGTTTGTTACAAAAAAGTTTATTATATGAGCTGGAATGGTCGACCTGAAGGGATTACGTCTGTTTCTTTCTGTTCAAGGCAGCACCTCAAATACTCCATCCAGTAAATTCCCACCTCCCTGCTTGCAGCTCATCAACTTCTGATGTGTGCACTTACGCAGGTTTTCAACAGCATCAGTGGGAATCAATTCAGGGATATCTGCAACTAATTCAAGCCCCAGCTGGATGTTGGGCAGCTGAAGCGTAACTGAAGTTAGACCGTTATTCAGTGTTCCAACTAACGTTCTAGTCGCTTTCCATGAGGCGTTATAAAGGATTCATTTTTCCTATTGCTAGCTTCACTGGCTTTTTCACACCAGTTTCTTTAGCGAGCCTAAACGACTGCCACGTATTTTTCGATACGAATGTCTTCTCATCACTTCGAAGACTCTTAGCTAACTTCTTGCACAGTTGCTTTCACTCATCGTCATTAGAATAAGTATTCTCACACCAACCAGTTCGGATAAGGTTGTGGGATCCAGTGATATTTCTTGACTTTTGGATGTAGTTTGTTAAATGTCTTTATCACTGCAGCCGGTTGAATACTAAGCCAAGCTTCATCTGGGTAGTAGTCGCTGCCATGCTCAGATAAGTGCTGTTACCTACCCTCTGAATAAACATTTAATATTCCCAGCCGATCCTTGAAAGGCTTTGCAACTTTTGAGTCCATTAACGCCTAAAAACATCCTTGTACTAACGCAAGGTGGGAATTCAGTCAAGTACTCTAAAGAGAGTCGTCTTCCAACGGTGGCTTCTGACAATATGATCTGTACTCACTTTTGCATTATTTCGGTAGATATTTGATGGGACTGTTTTATTATGTCTTAGTTTTATGCCCATATGAGGACCTTAGAAGGAAATGATAAATTTGCATATTACAGCGTCATTGATCGCCAGTACACTCTTTTAAGCACAGAAATAAGGTTGACAATTTCTCATAGTGCTTGACTGCGTCTTCTGGACAAATCAGTTTTACTAGTAGTAGTTATCTGGTATGATGCATCTAACGTTTTGGTGAGTTTCATCCATACCCAAAGTTACTGGCTGAAAGTCTAGTTTCTCATCCAAAACCTCACTGCTTCACGAAAAATCAAATTATATAAAGAATAAGAGCATCTGTCCTTAATCACTGAACAAAATAGCTTAAAGGTATATGTCACTTTATTACAAGGAGAATAGTACTTTTGCAAGAAGTACAAAGCAATCTGTTAGCGCTAGCACATTTAGGTGTAATTTTAAGCAGATGGCTTTTAACCAATGGACCACGGATTCGAACCGCGTTTTGTCTGCAGAGGTTGGGGCATTCAGGTAGTAAGTACCATTAATCACCACACAATAGGTGGGGGCTCATTGCTTACTGTACGAAAGTGCAGGTGACTACTGTATGCATCTCAGTTTTTCTCCTGAGTCTTCAATGTTGATTGAATCTTTTGTTTAGAAATTCTGTATATGCAAGTATGGATTACATCATGAATAGAAGGATATACTATAGTTCGAGTATACTTCTCAGCTGTCGGCTGTTTTAATGTACGTCTGTGTGGTGTAGCCGTCAAAAGTAGGCGATGTGAAAAAGCTACAGTCTTTTGACCTTAGATTTCGACATGACATTTCTTGCGTGTTCTAGAATCACAGTATACGCAACATTGAGTTTAGGCATAGAATATTAGTCGAGTCAGTCGATGAGTTTGTGAACGTCTTTCGACTCAGGTGGTCTTGACATGTGTGAAGAGAATCACCGCCTACTTCAGAGTGCGATGTCAGCCAAAGTAGGATTGGGTTACAAAAATGCTATGGGTTGCGAAACCAAGACATCACATTGGTTCGTGAAGTCTCTATCTCAGCCTTAAGCCTCATAAGAAGACAGGTCGTCGGTTTGTGTTCTTGAGACAGTATGAGTTGATGGTTGCAGACTTGATATACCTCAGAATCATCCACGCAGATGTATTTAGCCATGAATATGTCCACTAACATCTGTTTATTTATCGTCACTAAGTTTTATCAGCTTTCATATTATTCGTTATTTACCCATCTTTTCTTTGCACTTAAGCTGTAATGTGCAGCAACTTAAAGTGATTCACTTGTGTTCCAGTTCTGACGTTGATCTGTTTGTCACAGTCTGATCAATACTTGCTTGTTGGTTATTTCAATGACTTGTGAGACACTATGCTGCTGTTACAATTACAGTTGTGACTAGCCTGATGTTTGATTTTTTGAAAAGTGGCTGTATGTAGCTGTTGTGTATCTGACAGATTTCTCTGTCTTTCATACCACTGAATTCATTTCAGTACCAAGTATTAATTAAAACGTTTTCTTGACGAAACCGAATTCTCTAGGTTATAGGACCGATCTCAAAGAGAAATAAAGTAGTATACCTCTAGAGTTATGGTCTGATAGGCTTTTCCAAAGTGTGTGAAACTCATATTTGATGAATTTTACGGTGGTTCTGTTAAGAAATCAAACATAGGTGAAAGGAAGATAATCAAAATCAATGTGAAACCGTGCACAGCAGTGTATCAGTTCACTTCTACACACTTTACAAAAGAACACAGGAAATGGATCGTAAACGAATGACGCTGAAGTGGACAAGGTGCAAGAGGGAAAAGGAAAAAAGTAACTGAGGTATTGGTAAAATGCTCAAAGATCATAAAAAAAGTGTATATAACTGCTCTACTGTAACCGATCTCGAACTATATAACTAAGTGCAGTCAGGTACTTAACATGACTCATTTTAACAGTCAGAAATTTCATAAACTGATAACATTTCTTTGTCTGACCACTGTAAAGCACAGTAACAGAAATTAATTTCTTATCATTTTTATATTCTTGTTGGAACTGGATCTGGAAGCCAAACTCTGGATGATGGCACAGGAATGGTTAGTATCTTTAAGAATATTCTGTTTACTTTATTGTGTTCAGTAAATTGAGCAAAGTTTTTCGATTACTAAGTGGTGGTGTGATGAGTCGGATTATATTGCTTGAATTCTTGTGCAACAATAATAAGTAGACTTTCTGTGTTAACCTTTCCAAATATTAGGTAAGATCAATAGTAAGCTAACCACTTTAAAATTCAGTACATTGAGTATTCACATTTATATATTTAGAAAAAAGACTGTTTGAGCGAAGAAATATACTCGTTTTCAATTAGGTCTTCGTCTTGGGCTCGACCCTAGAATATAAGTTAACAGTTCATTCAAAATACCAATCAAATGGTTGTGGGGGGGGGGTCGGCGAATAGTAATTATCGATTTTGAGTTACGAAGATGATAAGTTTTAGAAATTAAGATGTAACTCATCAATAGGATGATTAAAATTGGTAATATGAAGCACTGAATCCCCCCCCCCCTCCAAATTAATTGATCTGGTGCTCATTTGTGACTAGCTCCGAGAGGTGATCCCTGAAGTTCCAATGAGAAGTGGTGACCGGTGAGGCAAACCTGGTGGATATAAGGTCAAATACTCAGCAATGACATTAGGTGATGGTCACGCTATGTCGTGAACTGACAGAAGTTGGGAATATGGACTGTCGGATTCCGACCCAGTGGTTCAATGGTAACCTGCTCTCCACGGGACCTGAAGGTCGTGGGTTCGATCCGTGGTGGGATGGTGTTATGGGTGCGCACTGCTGACTAGTCCCATACTAGTGGGACGAAACGGTTGTCCAGTGTTCCTCCAACTGATCTCAGTCCATGATGAATACCAACTTAAAAGGTCACTAAATCCCCACAAACCCCCCAAATTAAATATGAAGCAGGTTATTCTTAGGTAAGTGGGGTGATTTTTGACGAGCGTCCAGCCGTTAACAATAAGCAATTACGTGATAATGAGAGAGATGAATGTTGGTTAGAACAAGAGAAGGAAGAGCTGTAATAAGTAATAATAGAAGTTGTATAATGTTGTCCACTACGGTAACGAAAGTGGTCGAACAAACTTCTTTTGAATACAAAGGTTAGGTTTGTAAAGGTGATTTGCAATCATCTCTGTGTGAAGTAAGCGAATGCGTAATCCATATGGCAAATTAATTGGGATATGATGAATAGTTTTGCCTGCTTTCTTAGTATCCACTTGATGTCCCTTCTCAACTACGTGTGCAAGTATGGAACTCTTTATTGTTCTAATTTGTCCCTTGCTCAACTATGATGGATGGGGCTTAGAAATTCGACGATGCAACTGCCTCATTGTACGCCCAACATAACTAGCTCCACAGGAGCAGTTGAATTGATAAATACACATGGAAGTTGCAGAATCAGGCAGTTTGTCTTCATTTCTTGCACCTAGAACCGCGCAGTTGTATATGAAACATAATTTAGCGACTGGGAAGACTTTATGCAAGACTCTTTTTATGCACTGTGTGATGACTTCAGTGGCAATGTCACCCTTGAATTTCAGCTTTAAGAAGATTTGCTTCTTAAGAACTGGTGACGTTCTTGTCTTAACCTCCGTAACATACATATGCTTAGTTACAAACTTGTCTGAATGGCCATTCCTATTAAACAGGTCACGAATGGTAGCGAACTCTTCCTCTGTAGCATCGTCGGAGCCAATAGCTGTGGCATGGTATGCTAGGCATTTCACCAGGTTCCCTTTTAATTGGAGGGATATGGCACTAAAGAAATGCATGTACTGACCTGTCGATGTTGGTTTTCATATACACTTTGTTTCATAGTTTCATCTAACCTTCTTACCAACAGGACATCAAGAAATGGGATAGTGTCATTTTGTTCCTATTCCATTATGAAGTTGATTGCCGGATGAACACTATTGAACTTGTTGAGAACAGCATTCTTATCAATCTCACTTTTGAGAACTATAAAGGTATCATCCATGTAACAACAATATAATTCTAACTGGCTAATAGTTTTGTTTAGCTGACCATTCGGGGCTTGAATTTAGAGTATTAAGGATAAAATTAATTCTTTACATTTTTACATCACTTCTATAACTTAATCATACTTTACATAATTCGGTTTGAAACTGAATCTTTCTCTATCATTACCATAATGATTGATCCACTCTCTATGTATCAGTCGCTTTTACAGACGCTTATTATTGGTATTGTCGATCTAGAAGGGAACTTCAAGACTACATGTTAAAATTAATAGGATGAGAGAGAAAGTAGTCATTGCTAAATTTAAGTGTTTTCGGCAATAATGTTGACTACAGTAATGGATGTTTAGCAAATGCAAAATGGTCTATTCATTAAAATGAAATCGATATGGTGCTTACAGCGTTTCAATATCTGATTTATAGAGGATTTACTGTGACAAACTTACAACAGAAGTAAAATATAAAAAAACATATAACAGTGGTCAGACTAAGTCGTTTTCTGAGCGGGAATTTTGATTGGAATACGTCCCAGTTTCACGTTGGGCGTTGTCACTAGTGCATCACAGCCTCACATAATGTATATATCCATATCATTTTGACCATCTGAGATAGCCATGGTTTGGCAGACTAGTACTGATACTGGGTGATGATTGAACGTAAAATAAAAATTTGAACCGTGGCCGGATTCAAACCAGCGACCTCCGGGTATATATATATATATATATATATATATATATATATATATATATATATATATATATATATATATATATATATATATATATATATATAGGTACTGGGTGATTATTAAAGGTACCATGACAGGATTCAGAACCAGCGGCCTGAAGACTAACGGCATTACTATCGCTTGATTATAGTCCCATGGACTGCCCAGTCAGGACCTCTCATTCCAATCCTATCCAGTTGAAGAGGAAGAGCGTCATATTGATTATCAGTTTCACTAATGTGAATAGCTAGTGCTTAAGATATCGTCTAGAAAGATGATGAAAGCTCCGCGACTAAACGACCCAGCTCAGAGAACACAATACAACCAAGAAGTCTCAATTTTTTCGTATTCATCTTTAGTTTTTCGACAGTTCATTAATTTTTGTCCCAATGCAGAGAAAATGGACAACTTATTTGATATTATTGCTTGTTATTTCCCACCATTAATTGAACCAAATTGATTAGTCACTGTTTGTATATGGGCTCCTGCGTGAATGCCTTGATACTGCTAGTAATTTCAGCTTGATGATCATGAACAGTGGCTAGCAGTGGGGTCCAGGGCACGGGTTTTGTTCTGTTTAAGACTCGTTAGCTGTATACACCTACCCCCCTCTCCTGTGGACGTTGTTGTTCTCACCAAGGCTTGGACTCAAGACCGATTGTTTCAAGGCCAAAGCGTTATTCACTAGACCACTGGCACACGATAGCTATACCTCGTACTAAATAGGACGGAACGTGTGTTCTCGATTCCACTGCTAGCCATTATTACCATCAAAATGACATTTTAGTTAATAATAGTATGTCTACTTACAAATATTCATAAGTAGTGTCATCCCTAACGGATGCATTTGTTGGAAATGAGTTGATTAACAAACAGTTACGAGTAATACTAAATTTATCCGGTAACATGATGAGTATTTAAAAGAATACCCTGATTTTTCATGTACTTTATCATTTATGCATGTATAGAAACTTGTAATCTTGAGTTGAAATGGCTGGTCTGGAAAAACTTACAGCCTTCTAATATTGCTCGTGTTATGTTATATTTCAATTAGGTTTTACAAGCCCCTAAATATCAACTTATTGGCGTTTACAAGCATCGAAATTCAATTCTGTTGTCTGATGGTTGAAAAATATTATAGTCATTACTGTTAAATTCAGTTGTTCTATTGATTACAAGTTGTTCTACCCCTTAACATGGAAAACGCTCACGAGTATAAGTACCTGACTGAAAACAAACTAGAGTGGATCTGTGATTCATTGGTCTAGGTACTTGACTGTCGAGTAATGAGTCATAGGTCCTAATCATACTCCAATTACATAGATCTGGGAGGTCAAGTATTATTATTAGCTGCTGCCCAGCAGGTATGGCTTACCATCTACTGTACCAAAGTGCAGGTGATTACTCAGTTGAACGAAAAGTGCAGTGTTATTATTTGTCAATACTTGTAATTCTCCATTGTTATACCGAATCAAATTAATTGAACTCTCTTGGTGTATAGGCTTCCTATGCGAGTCCCTCAATATTGCCTGAATTTTTATTATTTTACCTCAGTGACCTGAGGCGATGGATAGGTGGCTCGAATCTCAGTGGGAACAACATCACTCGCTGAGAGGTCCAGGCAGGCTCATCCAAGTGACAAGTCTCAAACAGGATGGAACGTGCGTCCTGGATTCCACTTTCAGCCACAACTAATACAATAGTTACATAGTTGGTGTTGATCGGACGAATTTGATTCATTTAAGTGGGTGGATGTGACAAATGTTTACAGGATATCATTGGAAAACAGGGATAGTAAATCAACATGATCGGAGCACCTCATATCAACAAATCAAGTGACAAGGCAGTAAAATGTAAGATGAAGAAGGAAGGAAACAGGTGAAAAGAAGTAGGAGTAGAAACTGGTAAAAGAAAGGGAGGAAGAATAAGAGGATAGTGAGATTGAGTATAGTGGTTGAGATGAGGATAATGTGTATATGCATCTCAGCCACTGACATGGATTCTGAGCCATGTCGTCACATAGAGTCCCCAACCACTGAT